GTTGCTGCATAGTCTGTGCAGGCGTTGCGAGCTTCATCTGCGTGCATGCATGCACTTGCTTGCGTGAAAGACCTGCATGCATGCATGCATGCATGCATGCAAGGGGCCGTGCAGATGGGGCTGCTGCAGAGGAGCAGCTGAGCAGTGAAGGCCTCCCTGGACTAATGAAGGCAATGCTGCAACGTGCATGCATGCATGCATGCATGCATGCATACAGCAGCAACAGCAACAGCAACAGCAGCAGCAGCAGGAGGAGGAGCAGCAGCAGGGATGGCTGACTGGTGTGGATTGTTTTTTTTGCTGCCTTCCGGTGTATCCCCTCCTGCATGCAGTTGCATGCGTGCAAATGCATGCATGCATTTGCACGCATGCATGCATTTGCATGCATGCAGCTGCATGCAGGTCTTTTTGTCTCCTTTAGGGGAGTTCGTCTCCTGCTTGCATTTAATTTTATTATTTAATTGCAGCAACAAAATAAAAGTACGAGTGCGGTGTGCATGCACAGAATTGAGAAGGGTTACGTCCTTGTAGAGAGAGATGCATGCATTCTCTTGCATGCATTCACTTGCATGCATGAATATGCATGCACTTGCATGCATTTGCATGCAGTAGAGTATATCTTTGTGCGAGTCACTCAACATACAGTCTATATATGGGTTTATGTATGAAAAAGAAAAACGTGCATGCATGCATGCATGCATGCATGCGGGGCTGGAGAGACACAAATATGAAAGGGGGGGCTGCAGGAGTTGTTGCATGCATGCAGCAGCAGAGGGCTTCTCTGCTGCTGCAGTTAAAGAAGGCTCGGGGCTGGACTATTGCATGCATGCATATTGTTTAAATGCATGCGTAGACGAACATCTTTTGCATGCAAACGCACCTTGCATGCTATCTATACATTTAAAGTGCATGCATGCGAGCTTGCATGCATGCATGCATGCATGTATGTATGCATGCATATATGCATGCATGCATGCATGCATGCACTTTAAACTTTTTTGGGGCTTGGTGGCGGTCCTCTGCCCGCAACGGTCAAGCAGGTGATCTTCGCTGTCTTCTTTTTGTCTCTTTTGTGTCTCCTCTCTAAGGAGACTGCCTTTGTCTTTTTATAGCTAGCTAGCTAGCTCCTTGGTTTACCCTGATAGCTAGCTAGCTAGCTAGCTAGCTAGCTGTATCCTCAGGTAGACCCTAAACCCTAATCACTTGCCTACAAGGTTTTTAAGGACTGCTGCTGCAGTGGAAGCTGCCGTTGCTGTCGTTGCTGCTAACTCTGCTGTTTTCGCTGCTATTGCTGCTGCTGCTGTTGCTGCTGCTGATGCTGCTGCCGCCAAGTGTGCAGCAGCAGCAGCTGCTGCTGCTGCTGCTTCTCCGAAGTAGTTTTGGGGAGGGTAAGGCAGCTGAAAAAGCCCTACAGAATACCCCGCAGCAAACAGCAGCAGCAGCAGCAGCAACAGCAGCAGCAACGGAAGCAGATGTGCTGCTGCTACCAGCTTCTTCTTCTATCACCCCAATCAAAGCAGAGGCCCACAGCTGCACCCTTTGCAGTAGCTGTAGCAGCAGCTGTAGCAGCTGCAGCAGCTGTAGCAGCAGCTGTAGCAGCACCTGCTGCTGCTGCTGCTGCTGTAGCTATGGGCTTCCGGCTAGGGCCTCCAGTTGAGACCTTGTATGATAATATAAACGAAGACAGCTGAAGCATTTAAATTTTATATTAAATTAATTTCTGCTGCAGCAGCAGCTGCTGCTTTTTCAGCCTGCAAACCTATTTTCTTTAACTCCCACTGCTGCTGCTGCTGCTGCTGCTGTTGCTGCATGTCTGCAGGGGCCCCACAGCAGCTGTCCCTCTGCTGTTGTCTTATTACTGAAAAGGCATTGCTATTAAACTTATTTTTAGCGTGACAAGAAGATCTCTCACAAACCCTAAACCCTAAAAAACCCTAAACCCTAAACCCTAAACACTAAACCCTAAACCCTAGGCTTGAGGCCTGCAGCCGTCGATTGTCCCTGCTGCAGCCTTCTTCTTCCTCCGTGCATGCATTGAAACGATTTAATGTTTTTAGGAGTTGTCTTTTAATTATTTTCTTTGTCTCTCCACCACAACCCTTTGCTGCACTCAGGGCAGCAGCAGCAGCAGCAGCAGCAGCAGCAGCAGCAGTAGTAGTAGTAGTAGCAGCAGTAGCAGCCTTAGCTTTAGGTGTACGTACACTCCAGATAACTATGCACAATCCTCTGCTAGACGATGATGAAGCCCCTCCTGGGGCTGAGCAGCAACCGACAGCAGCAGCAACAGCAGCAACAGCTGCGGAGAAGGCTGCAGCACGAACAGCAGCAGCAGAAACAGCAGCAGCAGAAACAGCAGCAGCAAACCCAGCAACTTTAGGAGGGGTGAAGGACCCCAAGCCCGATCCCTCAGTAACAGAAGGAGTAGGGACTTGCAAGGGCAGCAGCAGCAGCAGCAACAGCACCAACAACAGCAGCAGCAACAGCAGCAGCAGCACGTCTCCTGCTGCTGCTGCTGCAACTGCAGCAGATGCAGGAGATAAAAAGAGACAGAGCAACGGAGGGACAGGCTACACCCGGCAGCAGAGAAAGAGATCGAGAGGGGAGAAAATAAGGCAGCATATGCAGCGCCTGCAGCAGCAGCACAAGCAGCAGCAGCAGCAGCAGCAGCAGCAGCAGCAGCAGATTGAAGGAGACACTCAAAGTCCTGCAGCAGCAAATGAAACGCCTCTAAAAATACCTAGACCCCCTAAGAAGAAATTCGTACTGCTGATTGGGTAAGGGATGCTTACCAGAACGATTAGGGTTTAGGGTTTAGGGTTTAGGGTTTAGGGTTTAGGGTTTAGGGTTTAGGGTTTAGGGTTTGCATGCAGGTACAACGGAGCGAAGTTTCACGGCTTTCAGAAGCAATTTAAACAGCAAGACCCCTCAAGCAGAGACTCTGAGACCTCCTCTGGTGAAGAAGAAAAGGAGCAGCAGCAGCAGCAGCAGCAGCAGCAGCAGCTGCAGCAGCAGCAGCAGCAGCAGCAGCAGCAGCTGCAGCAGCAGCAGCAGCTGCGGACAGTAGAAGGGGAGCTTGAGGAGGCGCTGCTGCGCTGTGGTAGTATTGCTGCTGAACATTTCGGGTGTCTGCAGCGGCTGCAGTGGTCGCGAGCAGCAAGAACAGACAAAGGAGTGCATGCAGCAGCAAATGCTGTTGCTCTTAGGCTTTCTTTAGGTCCTGTTGCCTTCACTCACAACCTGCAGCAGCAGCAGCAGCAGCAACAGCAGCAGCAGCAGCAGCAGCAAGGGGAGCACCAAGAGACGCACGCGCAGCAGCAGCAACACCCAACGCCTCCACTCTCGCAGCAGCAGCAACAGCAACAGCAACCCAAGCAAGAGGAGCAGCAGCAAGAGCAGCAGCAGCAGCAACAACAACAGCAACAGCAGGATTTAGATGTGGGGACAGAGGACTTCGATTGTCTCTCTCGGGGTGTATGTACACTAGACAAAGAAGCTGTTGCTCAGTGGCAGCAGCAGCGGCTGCTGCTGCTGCTGCAGCGGCTGCAGCAGCAACTGCCGAAAGACATTTGCTGCTTCGATATTCGTCCGGTCACCAAAAACTTCGATGCCAGGTCCGCCTCTAGGGTTTAGGGTTTAGGGTTTAGGGTTTAGGGTTTAGGGTTTAGGGTTTAGGGTTGAGAGGGGACCCAAAGGCAGGACCTTGGGATTTGTTTATGTTGCTGCTGCTGCTGCTTCTGCTGGTCTTCCTCTGCTTGTTACTGCTGCTGGGGTGCATCTTATTATTATTTGCTGCTGCTGCTGCTGCTGCTGCTGCTGTAGGGTCAGCTGCTCGCGGCGGGTGTATGAGTATGTAATGCCGCTGTGGCTGCTGCAGCCAGCAGCAGTGAGAAGAGATCTTATTTGCTGCTACACTCGCTGCATGCAGACAGACGCAGCAGCAGCAGCAGCAGCAGCAGATGCAACAACAGCAGCAGCAGATGCAACAACAACAGCCACCAGCGAGGAGGCTACAACCAGCAGCAACTCCACGGACTCAGAACAAAGAGCAGCAGCAGCAGCAGCAGCAGATGCAGCAGCAGAAGATGCAGCAGCAACAGATGCAGCAGCAGCAAAAGAAGCAGCAGCAGATGCAGCAGCAATCCCTGCTGATGCTCCCCCTGTCAGCAGCGATGTCCCTCTTCACTTTGCTTCTCTCTACCCCAACCCCCCTCCAAAACTCTCCGACCAGGAGCTAGTTGTAAACCCTAAACCCTAAACCCTAAACCCTAAACCCTAAGCCCTGAGGCATGCAAGCCATTAGAAGGGCGTCAAGTCTGTGTGGAGAGAGCTGCGCAGGGTTTGCAGGGCTCCGAGTTTACAACTCGCTGCGATTCACGGTCTAGGGTTTAGGGTTTAGGGTTTAGGGTTTAGGGTTTAGGGTTTGCGGTGTAGGATCGGCTAGGCAAAGTGCTGCGACTTTATGAAGGGACCTATTGCTACCGCAATTTTACTCGTGGAAGCAAAAACAAAGACAAAAATTTAGCAGCATTTAAACGTCACATACACTCCGCTACCGTAAACCCTAAACCCTAAACCCTAAACCCTAAACCCTGATGCAAACACCGTTTCCTAGCTGTGCCCCAAACGCGAACCCGAGACACAAACCCTAAACCCTAAACCCTAAGCACAGCATGCCTTTCTCAGCGTACCTCATGCGATACTCCTTTAGGGCTTCTGCATCATGGTTTAGGGTTTAGGGTTTAGGGTTTAGGGTTTAGGGTTTAGGGTTTAGGGTTTGCGGTGAGCAGGTCAAACTGGGGAAACTTCCCGGCTATGACGAGCCTGTGGCGGTGGTTCGCTTAGAAGGGCAGTCTTTCCTCTACAATCAAATCCGCAAGATGATGGGTAGGCTAGGGTTTAGGGTTTAGGGTTTAGGGTTTAGGGTTCTAGGGTTTAGGGTTTAGGGTTGAGGGTTTGTGACTTGGTGTTGCGCCTTTCCTGCGGCCGTTGCCTCCCTCTTTCAGAGGTTCTACTCCTGTTTGAAATGTAGAGTTTAGGGTTTAGGGTTTAGGGTTTAGGGTTTAGGGTTTAGGGTTTAGGGTTTAGGGTTTAGGGTTTGTGGTTTAGGGTTGGCGGTAGAGATATGCAGACGTACAGCCCCTGTCTCTTCGATTAGAGCTGCTACTGGTAAAGGAAATGTTTTCTTACATACGGCACCTGCTGAGGGTCTTCTGCTGCTGCATGTAAACCCTAAACCCTAAACCCTAAACCCTAAACCCTAAACCCTTGCTCTTTGCACTAAAGCCACGAAGCACAGACCGTCAGTAGGGGAGACTGCAAATTATTCTTTTAAGCTAAGGGGTCATTCAATTCGTTGTTGCTGCTGTTGCTGCTGCTGCTGTTGCTGCTGCTGTTGCTGCTGCCGCTGTTGTTGCTGCTCTCGTTGCTGCTGTCGTTGCTGTTGTTGCTATTTCTGGTGTTTCTGCTCTTGCCGCTGTTACCACTCCTGCTGCTGCTGCTGCTGCTGCTGCTGCTGCTGCTGCTGCTGCTGCTGCTGCAGCCGTGTTATGACGCGTATAACAATGGACGCGCTCGTTTGGCGGGTTTGTCCGGAGTAGAGTTTGAGAGTATTGCTGATAAAATAACTGCATTTAAGGAGACAGCAATATATCCTTCTGTCTCTAACTCTTTTAACACTGAGGTGTACGTACACCGCAACAACTGTCTCCTCTCTCCTGTCTCCTTTGCTGTTTGCTGCTTATGGAGGCTGCTGCTCTTTCTATACTTTCTCATATTGTGTGATTGGGGTTGAGGGGTAGTTTGCTGCTGCTGCTGCTGCAATTTGGGCTGCTGCTGCTGCTGCTGCTGCTGCTGTCGCCGTCTCCAGCAGCAGCAGCAGTCTTTTCGTGCGTCTCCTTTGCTGCGCTGTCTCCTCAGGTGGCAGCAGTGGCAGCAGAGTATAAATCGGCATCCTTTCTTTCTAGAAAACACACACATATCTGCTTCTTGAGATGCAGCAGCTTGTTGTTGTTGCTGCTGCTGCTGCTGTTGCTGCTGCAGCAGAACCTCACGCTGCCGCTACAGCGACAGCAGCAGCTGCTCTCTCCGAGAGCAGCAGCAACGGTAGGAGACGCAGCAGCAGTATCTGGAGCAGTGCAGCAGTTACTGCTACACTTGCTGCTGCTGCTGCTGCTGCCGGATTTTGCTGCAGCAGCAGCAGCAGCTGCTGCTGCTGGAGACGAGAGCCATTTGTTTTTTTGGCGTGAGGCTTCCGCCAGTCTGCTTAATAACAGCTTCCTCGATGATGTTTTTGTTTATCTCTGTTTATTTATCTGTCTCCTCTATGTGTCTCTGTCTCTTTTTTATTTTTGTCTCTGTCTCCTCAGCAGCTCCCTTCGCTGTATTTTACGTTTGTCTCCTTTTTGTCTGTCTCTCTATCTCTGTCTCTGTCTCTGTCTCTGTCTCTGTCTCTCTCACTGTCTCTGTCTCTATCATCTGTCTCTGCTTATTTTCTCTGTCTCTTTCTGTGTCTGCCTATACACTTGAATTAGGTGCCTATACACCCTAACTAGGTGCCTATACACTCCAAAGGAGTAAGGGAGATGCATGCAGATTCTAAAGGAGACAAACCGATGCCTCTCTGTACACTCAAGAGCAGCAAAACAGCTGCCTATACACTCCAGTGGGGAGACAGCAGGCGAAAAGGAGACCTTAATGAAAGCAGAAATGAGTTCAAGAGACGTAGGGTTTAGGGTTTAGGGTTAAACCCTAAACCCTAAACCCTAAACCCTCAGAGCAGCACTTCGCGGCGGGCACGCGCTGCAGCAACACCGAGCAGCACACTGGCGCTGCTGGAGTCCCTCAGCAGGTCCCCCAGCCACCACTCTTGCTGCTGCTGCTGCTGCTGCTGCTGCTGCTGCTGCTGCTGCTGCTGGAGCAGCAGCTGGGCCCCTTCTCCAGGTGTAACTACAATTGGCAGCTCCCATACTAAATTAGCGACATCAGAAGAACGTACACGCGCAGGCAGCGGCTGCAGCTTATCTTGCTGCTGCTGCTGCTGCTGCTGCTGCTGCTGCTGCTGATCTTGCTGCTGCAGAGGGCAGGTGAAACGCACAACTAGAGAGTAAGATATCTGCAGCAAATCTGTTTTAAACGAAGGAGGTGCAGCAGCAGGAACAAACAACACCAAGGAGACAGTCTCCTTGTGCAGCACGAAGTCGCTTTCACTCCAAACTATGCGCGCCTGCTGCTGCAGCACCTGTTGCTGCTGCTGCTGCTGCTGCTGCTGCTGCTGCTGCTGCTGCTGCGGCAGCAGGTGCTGCTCTACTGCAGCAATAGCAGCAGTTATCTGCAAGATTGGTAGAGCAGCATTACTTAAATTTATAGAGAGACGCAGGCTGTCTCCTGCAGCAACTGCATACTGTCCCTTCACATAGCAGCAGCTAGAAAGAGACAGTATACATAGCAGCTTCCCTTCTAAGCTCACACGAAAGCTGTCTCTGCTGCTGCTGCTGCTGCTGCTGCTGCTGCTGCTGCGGCTGCTGCAGCTGTCTCCAGGCTCCAGATACTCCCCTTCTGCTACGCAACGCAGCACATGCAGCTGCGAAGATAGAGACACTGAAGAGCTCGATATGCTGCTGCTCCTGCTGCTCCTGCTGCTGATGCTTCTCCTTCTGCTGCCCCTTCTACTGCTGCTGCTGTTGCTGCTGCTGTTGCTTCTGCTGCTGCTTCTGCTGCTGCTGCTGCAGGGAGGAAGTACTTGTTCTCCTGTGAGCGTCTCTCCTGCGTCTGTTGCTGCCGCTTCTGCTGGTGCTTCCGTTGCTGCTGTTGCTGCTGCTGCCTCCTCTGCTGCTGTTTCTGCTGCTTCCGTTGCTGCTGCTGCTGCTGCTGCTGCTGCTGTTTCTGCTGCTTCCGTTGCTGCTGGTGATGCACTGCTGCTGTCCTCACTCTGCACTGGGGATTGAAGCGGGGTCTCCGTGCGCTTTGCTGCTGCTGTTGCTGCAGCAGCAGGAGCAGCAGCTGCTGCTGTTTCAGGTGTAACTACAGATGCTTCTGTTGCTGCTGCTGTGGTTGTTACGTCTGTGCTAGACACGTGAGAAAGAGGGGGCTCATCCGCTGCTGCTGCTTGTGCTGCTGTTGTTGCTGCAGCTGGTGCTGCTGCTGCTGCTGCTGCTTCTCCTGCTGCAGTTGCTGCTGCAGCAGCTCTTGGTGCAGGGGCTGCAGCAGCAAGAAGCGAGGAGACAAGTGCCTCCCCGTAGTTTTCTATAAGGCCCCCCAGCCGCCAGAAAGTAACAGCATCATCTAGCGGCAACGTCTGCTGCTGCTGCTGCTGCTGCTGCTGCTGCTGCTGCTGAAAGAGATT